CAAAACGGATAATATATTGAACCATCATGACCTGCTGGAGGTGATGGAAGGAACGGAGAGGTGCCCCGAGAACAACTCGGGGAAGAGCCCATAGATGCAGAAGAGCGCACAAGGCTATCTCCTACTTGGGCAAGCGTTGGGGAACAACCAGATCTGTCACATCAAGTCTTTCAGCGTGAACAAAAAAAGGCCTGGGCTGCTCCTAAGGGGTACATGCTCCTGCAACAGTGGCGGTAGCAGTGGTGTTGGAGCGGAAAATGGTGGCACTACCTATTGAAAAAGATGAAGTGGTTGAAGAAGGCGTACATAAATTCTTCAACTGGTTGACGTGACTTTAAGGACCTGATCTAAACTTTAGAGAGCTTCAAAATAATACCAAGCTGCTGGCCTTACTCCCAGAGTCATGGTCCTCCCTCATCATCAACCTGAATCGCGACTTGCCCGGCCTCTCTCTTGAAGACGTGAAGCGAGCGATCCTTCAAGAGGACTTCCTCCGCCGTGAGTTGGTGGGTCCCGATGGCGCTGGGGCAGCAAGCACCGGCTGGGGATATGGCACTGGAAGGGGCAGAGGATGTGGAGGAGGCCGACTTGGCAGCAGTAACTACAACGGTGGTCACAGAAGTGGCAGATACGGCAGCCACAACAAGAGCTACAGACATGGGCGCGGCCGATTCAACCGCAAGTGCCACTTTTGCCACTGTTCCCCATTCATTACCTGATTCTTTCAATGTCTTATTATGATGTCACCAGCTCATCATTCTCGCAATATCATGCCATCCACATCAGCTATTAATGCTCTTATTGGTTCATGCTAGTTCCATTTGAGCATGAGCTCGTAGCTTCAGAAGACTGCGGCCCCTCTGAAAACGAACCCACAACCTCCCTTGCTCGTCCGGTTCTACTTGTCGCCGACGTTGTCGACGTCCACGTAGCCGACCAGACTCCGCGACACTGGTCCGCCACCGAACTCCAAGGTGGCGTCACAAGTGTCGACGAGGTAGGCAAGGCAGCAATCGACCTCACGCCAGTGCTGGTCGCTCCTCATCATCAAGGCGTTCCCCAGCTTGCTGCACGTGAAGAGGATGTCAGGCTCCGTTGTTGTCGCTGCGAACTACAACGAGCCGACCTTCTCTTCCTCCTAGCGCGCCTGAGCGTCCTTGTCGTCGAACGTCAGCTCGGCGTAGGCGTCGACGGAGTTCGGTGTCTTCGGGATCTGACCGCCTTGCCCCTCGTCGATGAAACGCCTGCGCAGCTTCTCGACGTAGGTCTGCTGGTGGAGCCACAGCTTCCTCGCTGGCATGTTGCGCATGATCTCCAGCACGAGGTACTTCTCGACTGGCAAGATCTCGCGTAGCTCAAAGGCGGCCTTCAGCAGCTCCTTCAGCATCGCGAGGCTGCTGTTGGCAGAGAGCAGGTCGTCAACGTAGACGAGCACCCAGCACGTCACACCGTCATCGGCGACCTTGAAATAGAGGGCATCGTCGACCTGGCTCTTGCTCTAGCTGGCGTTGGTTAGGACAGCGTCGAGTGCCATGTACCACAACAACGACGACTTCTCTAGCCCGTACAGGCTTCCCAGCAGCTTGCACACCTGATCCGTCGTCGTAGCAGTCCGGCTGGTACTTGTACACCACCCGGTCGAGCTTGCTTTGCAGGAAGGCATTCTTCATGTCGAGCTACACCATGTGAAAGACGAGGACGGCGATGATGCTGAGGAAGATCCTCAGCGTGACGTAGCTCCCAACCCGGGCGTACGTATCGTTGTAGTCGGCGTCGTACACCTTCGTGAAGCCTTTCACAACCAGCCTTGTCTTCTCCCGAGCGACCATGTCGTCGACGGGGTACTTCGTCATCAGCACCTACCGGTTCTTCATGATGTTTACCTCGCGCGGACGCTCGACAAGCTCCCACATGCCATTGGCGACAAGGTTGCGGATCTTCTCGTCCATGGAGGCCTTTGCCGCCTTGCCCTTCTAGCTTGCCAACCCCTCTTTCACCGTCATGGTGGCGATGTCGCATCGGCGCTCTGGGACGGCGTTGACGTCGAATTCGAGCTCTGGCAGGTCGACATCGGCCTCGACGTTGTCACGCAGCGTGGTGGAGGCGGCCAGCGACAGGCAGGCGTGGTAGCTCAACCGCTTCGGCGGCCTCCGAAGTCGGCCTAAACGTTGTAATTCATGCTGATCGACCTAGACCTCTACCACGTCGTTGTTGGTGGACTCCTCCCCCGCCACCAACTCCCTTTGTCGTCGCCGGCTTCGCCACCATTGTCATACTCCTGCACCAAAATCGGCGTAATTGCCGACTTCTCCCTTGTCATCGGCTCCTCTGCCGACTTAGCCTCTTTCAGCTCCCCTATTGACTTCACTGCCCAGTGCTCCTCCATTGTAAGCTCCTTGGACATCGGCGGCTTCACTTTCTCGCAAAATTGTTTGGCGTTACGTTGGCCGCCGGCGGTGCCACTCGTCGGCGCCACTGGCAACGTCCCAAGGCCCTCCTCATCGCCGGTGGCCGACGCCAGCGTCGGCTCCTACAAGTCGGCAACGAGGGGTGTGATAGTGGGAAGAGGTGGAAAAGAGGGAGGGCGGACGTTCTCGGCGTCCTCGTCATCAGGCTCGCCGACGTCGGCGAGCTGCGGGAAGGTCGCCGTAGAGGTGTCCGTCGGCGGGCTGGCCTGCGTTTGCCCTGACGCCTGCCCGTACTCCATCTTCTACACCTCCAGCGATAGCGTCTCATAGAATATGACCTCCACCGTGGTGACCACCTTGTTGTCTGTGAGGTCGAGCACCTCCCAGCCCTTGCTCTCCGGCGACACACCGAGGTGAAGCCCCCACCAGGCCTTCGGCGCCAACTTCCCACCACGCTGCTATTCAGGAACCATGAACTGCACCATGCAGCCCCACACTCGTGCCAGCATGAGGTGTGGTTTCTTGCCGGTCAGCAGCTGGTCCGGCGTCGTCCCCGGCAGCAACACCGACTTCTCAAGGCAGTTGCGCACCCAAACGCCCTACCGAAGGGCGAGGTGCCGCCAGCGGTGCCGCACTCCCATGTGCAAGTGCATCGTCCTCACTGACTCGACCACCGTCCGCGTTTCTCGCTCCGCCATGCCGTTCTGCTGCGAAGTGTACGAGCAGGTCAAGTTGTGGACGATGCCCTTCTCGTCCACCAAAACAGAAGGCTCTCCCGAGGAGCATCAGCACCGACTTCTTCGTCTGTTGGAGGATATGGACGAGAGATCGTGGGGATCCTACGCGAGGCTGCTCGTGTGCTTGCGAGGCGCCAGATTTCCTACTGTGGCGTGAGCTAGACCATTACCCTAAACTCTATCGATTGAATTGGTGTGTGCTCTGGTACGCCTAGGCGGGCTCCCCGACGTGTGACCTAGACGTGAGCGCTACGCTATGGTCGCACACCGCTTCTTACACTGAAGTATTCACGTATGCGTTGAGGAGTGGGCGAGTGGGCTACGCGGGGGTTGGATCGAGTATACTTTTGACATAACTATAACTTAGCAGGGGAGTGGAGGCACGTGGATTGATTTTGACGCTCGTGCAGGTTTTAATTTGGTTACGAGGCTGTACCATTTATAAACTTTGGGCTTTGGCCTTGCCAAATGTATAACGCTGCTGTAGAGCTCGCGCCTCCAATTACACCCTTCCATCCAAGTGTTAAACGCTTGATATAGGGTAACAGACTGCTTTGTCGCAAAGTTCACCCAGGCAAGGGTTGAGTTTCGGGGAAGTGTGAGTGGGGTGGTTTGGGTTTGCAACGTGGCATTTTTATTGGGTGAGCACATACGCCAAAGCAGGTTGGGTTGTCAAGCACACGTGCGCGACAAATAAAGCTGTGAACGCTGTCATCGTGCGACGACGAGACCGTCGCCCTCTCGTCCCGGCAAACCAAGCGTTTACACAACTCAGAAATATGAGACTGAGAACTCGTCAATATGTCAAAAGGCACTCTGCACTAAGTGTTTTACGACCTAGACACATGTCCTAGTCTGGAGCCCTACAGCAAAAACCCGCAAAGTGTTTAGAAAGCATCACCCAAACTTCGATGCCCCACACATCGTAAGCCCATTCCGACCACCTCTGCTACAATCTGACCTTTAGTCGACAAAAACGCGACCCGTGTGAGACTATAGAACCGGCCACGCCATCCCCATACAATCCACTGCCCACGCCGCGCTGCCCCGAACCGGCTTTCATCGCCCAAACGTTACCCCTGGATTAGGTGAGCCTACATGTTTTCGGCTTGTTACCCGACAGAAAGGTGGGGCACTAGAATGGCGTCGATATCGTATGCCCACGCATTACGAGGCCCTTACGAGCACTACGTGAATGGCTTTAGTGTTATAAATGAGAGTACATGGCCCAATGAGAGGCGTATTGAGAGGCGTAATGGGAGGCGAAATGAAAGGAGTAATGAGAGGCGTAATGAGAGGTGGAATGAGAGACGGCGTGAGAGGCGGAATGAGAGGCGGAATGAGAGGCGGAATGAGAGACGACGTGAGATGCGGAAGGATAGTCGGGATTAAAGGCGGGATGAGAGGCTTTCTGAAATGCGGAATGAGAGGCGGCGTGAGAGGCGGAATGAGAGGCGGAATGAGAGGCGGAATGAGAGGCGGAAAGAGGGGCGGAATGAGAGATACGTTAGAGGCGGAATGAGAGGCGGAAGGTGAGGCAGCGTGAGAGGCGGGATGAGAGGCGGAATGAGAGGCGGGATGAGAGGCGGAATGAGAGGCGTAATGAGAGGCGTAATGAGAGGCGGAATGAAAGGCGAAATGAGAGGCGAAATGAGAGGCGTAATGAGAGGCGTAATGAGGGGCGAAATGAGAGGCGTAACGAGAGGCGTAATGAGAGGTGTAATGAGAGGCGGAATGAAAGGCGGAATGAGAGGCGGTGTAAGAGACGGAATGAGAGTCGGAATGAGAGGCAAAATGAGAGGCGGCTTGATATGCGGAAGGAGAGGCGGAATGAGAGGCGGAATGAGATGCCGCGTTAGAGGCGGAATGAGAAGCGGAATGGAGGAAGGGAGGAGCTGTGAGAGGGGGAAGGGAGGAGATGTGAGAGGGGGAAGGGAGATGCTGTGGGTGGGGGAAGGGAGGTGCTGTGAGAGGGGGAAGGGAGGAGCTGTGAGAGGGGGAAGGGAGGAGCTGTGAGAGGGGGAAGGGAGATGCTGTGTGTGGGGGAAGGGAGGAGCTGTGAGAGGGGGAAGGGAGATGCTGTGGGTGGGGAAAGGGAGGTGCTGTGAGAGGGGGAAGGGAGGAGCTGTGAGAGGGGGAAGGAAGGAGCTGTGAGAGGGGGAAGGGAGGTGAGGTGGGTGGGGGAAGGGAGGTGCTGTGAGAGGGGGAAGGGAGGTGCTGTGGGTGGGGGAAGGGAGGTGCTGTGAGAGGGGGAAGGGAGGTGCTGTGGGTGGGGGAAGGGAGGTGAGGAGGGTGGGGGAAGGGAGGTGCTGTGAGAGGGGGAAGGGAGGTGCTGCGAGAGGGGGAAAGGGGGATGCTGCCAGAGGGGGAAGGGAGGTGAGGTTAGAGGGGATGGATAAGTGCTTCGGGAGGGGTAAGGGAGGGGAGGTGAGGGAAGGGGGAACAAAGGAAAGGTCAGAGGGGGGAAGGGAGGTGATGTGAGAGGGGGGAAGGGAGTTGCGATGAGATGGGGAAGGGAGGTGCCGAGAGAGTGAAAAGGGGGGTAAGGGCCGTGAGGAAATGGGCGGAGTCGGTGGGGGATGGGAGGCAGGAAGGCAGGTGCTGGCAGGGGGCAAGGCAACCATGTGAGAGGGGGAAGAGAGGTGCCTCGGGCTGGGAAAGGGAGGTAAGGTCAGGGGGGGGAGGGAGGTGCTGTGAGAGGGGGAAGGGAGGGGCAGTGAGAGGGGGAATGAAGGTGCTGTTAGAGGGGGAATGTAGGTGCTGTAAGAGGGGGAATGTAGGTGCTGTAAGAGGGGGAAAGGTGGTGCTGTGAGAGGGTTTAGGAAGGTGCTGTTAGAGGGGGGAATGTAGGTGCTGTGAGAGGTTTTAGGAAGGTTCTGTTAGAGGGGGAATGTAGGTGCTGTGAGAGGGGGAAAGGAGGTGCTGTGATAGGGGGAAGGAGGTGATGTGTGAGTAGGGTTGGGAGGTGTTGTTAGAGGGGGGAGGGAGGTGCTCGCCGTAAGGAAATAGGCCAAATGAGTGACGCGCGAAAGGCGTGTAGGCTGCCGGTGAGCGCGCGCACACCTCTCTTCAAGGGTCGCGCACCCAGCTGTAGGCATCTGGCGCCTCTTTAGCATCTGCGCGCATGCGACTGGGATTTCACGCGCCACCGAGGCATAAGCGCGCGCACCGGCCGCATTAGCCATGAGCCTACTAAACATCAGCGCCCAACCCTCTGTAATGCAACGAACCCCCTTTCCCAAAAGCGCAAGCACGGCAGTAGGCACCACGCGCCTACAAAACTGCCGCGCGCAAAAAACCCACACACGCGTATTGCGCCTGCTCTGAGAGGGGGAAGGAGGAGAGGACGGAGGGGGGGAGAAGGTGCGCTGAGAGGGGGAAGGAGGAGAGGAAAGAGGGGGGGAGGAGGTGCGCTGAGAGGGGGAATGAGGAGAGGACAGAGGGGGTTTAGAAGGTGCACTGATAGGGGGGAATGAGGAGTGGACAGAGGGGGTTTAAAAGGTGCACTGACAGGGGGAAGGACGAGAGGAAAGAGGTGGGGAGAATGTGCACTTAGAGGGGGGATGAGGAGAGGACAGAGATGGGGAGAATGTGCACTGAGAGGGGGAATGAGGAGAGGACGGAGGTGGGGAGAATGTGCACTGAGAGGGGGAATGAGGAGAGGACAGAGATGGGGAGAATGTGCACTGAGAGGGGGAATGAGGAGAGGACAGAGATGGGGAGAATGTGCACTGAGAGGGGGAAGGAGGAGAGGTCAGAGATGGGGAGAAGGTGCACTGAGAGGGGGAAGGAGGAGAGGAAAGAGGTGGGGAGAAGGTGCACTGAGAGGGGGAAGGAGGAGAGGACAGAGGGGGGGAGAAGGAGAGGACAGAGGGGGGATGGAAGGTTCTACGATAGGGGAAAGAGGGCGATGACAGAGGGGGGAAGGAATGTGCGACGATAAGGGAATGAAGGCGAGGACAGAGGGGGGAAGGAAGGTGATATGATAGGGGAAAGAAGGAGAGGACAGAGGGGGGGAGAAGGTGCGCTGAGAGGGGGAAGGAGGAGAGGGCAGAGGTCCTGTGAGAGGGGGGAGAGAAGGTGCTTAGCAATAGAACCGGGTGTGAACTTGTGGTGAGGCATACACACGAATGCTCCCCATCCTTCCTGTCTCCGTACCCACCTCGTCACTCCCCTATCCCTTTCTCGCGCCTGCACCCATTCCCGCTCCTCCCAAACCATTCCCCCATCGGGGGGCGAAATATCCCATCTTATTTTCCACTGCTCCCTCTCACCCCCCCCCCCCCCCCCCCTAGCTTCCCATCATTTTCCCCTGTAGTCCCTCTCATTTCACCCTTTGTTACCCCTAATTTTCCCTGTGGGAGGGAGGTGCTGTGAGAAGGGGGAGGTAGGTGAGCAGGTAGGGTGAAGATACGTGCTTATGGAGGGGGGAGGGACATGAGGTGAGAGGGTGGAGGGAGGGGAGGTGAGTGGTTGAAGATAGGTGAGGGAAGGGGGAATGGAGGTGAGGTCAGAGGGGGGATGGGATGTGAGGGGAGGGGGAAATGAAGGTGAGGTCAGAGGGGGAAGGGAGGTGCTGAGAGATGGGAGAGAAGGTGGTGGGAGGGGGGCAAGAGGTGCTATCAGAGGGGGAAAGAGGTGATGTGAGAGGGGAGAGATAAGTGCATAGGGAGGGGGAAAGGAGTTGATTTCATATGGGGAATGTAGGCAAACAGGGGAGGGGAAAAGGAAGGTGAGGTCAGAAGGGGGGAATGAAGGTGCGTGGAGAGGGAAAAGAAAGGTGCGGGCAGTGGGTTAGGAGGTGATGGGTGAGTTGGAAGGGGGGTGCGGTGCGGTCAGAGGGGCAAGATAAGTGCACGAAGAAAGAGGAAAGGAGTTGAGGCACGCGGGGTAGAGGGTTAGTGGTGACGCTGGCAGGGGGGAAAAGGGGATGTGAGAGGGGAACAGAGGTGCTTAGGGAGGGGGGTCTGGGGGTGAGAAGGGTGGTGCTGGCTGGGGCAATGCAACGATGTGAGGTGCTGGCTGGGGCGGTGCAACGATGTGAGATGGGGAAGAGAGGTGCTTAGAGAGGGGGAAGCGATGTCATAGTGGCAAGGGAGGTGAGGACAAAGGGGGAAGGGAGGTACAGTGACAGGGGGAAGGTTGAGAGGACAGAGGGGGGATGGTAGTGCAGTGAGAGGGGGAATGGAGGTGCTGAGAGATGGGGACGAGAGGTGCTGAGAGATGGGGGAGGGAGGTGCTGACCTCAGGGACATAGGCGGTGTCGGAGGGGGGAAGCGAGGTGCTCACTGGGGGGAATGCAACGATGGGAGAGGGGGAAGAGAGGTGCCTAGGGAGGGGGAAGGGAGGTGAGGTGAGAGGGGTGAGGGAGGTTCTGTGAGAGGGAGAAGGGCGGTGATGTGAGAGGGGGAAGGGAGTGGCTGTCCGGGAGGAGTTAGGCGGTGACCGAGGGGGAAGGGCGGTGAGGGGGAACGGAGGCGGGAAGGGAGGTGCTGGCTGAGGGGAAAGTGGTGACATGATAGGAGTTAAATTGGTGCTTATGGGGGTATAACCAGAGGTGGGATTTGGGTGGTGACTGGGTACATCTAAAGGTGGTGACATGTGTCGTGAGTAACGGCACAAACTAATGCGCATGTCCTTTTATTGTGCCTCTGCAACCCGTCACCATCCCAACAGGCCATTCACCACAACGCCATTCCGACTGGTGGCTTTCGACTGACGGACATTTGCGCATCGTGTCGTAATGGCACGAAGGTGAGTGGTACGGGTTGTGTGAGGTTGCGTGTAGCACAAAATCCAAACACCAGCATATGTAATGGACATGTGATCGTAATGGCAGGCGATCCAAGAACAAGAGAGAGACTTTGCAGCAGCAGCTCAAAAACATTATGGGGGGTGTTAAGCAAAAGTCAGTGGGGCTTGGGAAACACACTGACCTACCCGTAACCATTATGCGATGCGGTTTATCAACACTGATGGGGAGGGAGGCATCGTAAAACGACGTGCTGCACGTCCTCATGGTTTCGGCATGGGATGTCGTTGTGAAGCTTATAAATGCAGCAACTGATACTTGTAAGTGGCACCTTGGAACAATTTTGCAATTGTGCACCTGATACCTCAAAACCAGCTAACACTTGCAAACAACCCACTAACATGCCCAAACCACGATGCTTATGGTAGGTGGGAATGGCGCCATGGTGAAAGAACAGGCAAAGTTACAATTTGAAGCACAGCGAGCAAGCTTCCTCATGAGTCAACCGGGGGAAAAGGTTGACGAGGCGCATCTGCTCTAGAGGATGCCGAAGCCATTGGACGGCTTCGTTTATGAGTTCGATACATACCATCTCAACAAGGAGGGTGTGCTTGAGCCGGATAATGGACGTGGCCACGGAGGTGACCGTCGCGGACCGGCATATCAAGCACTACACGATGCTGGTATGTCCATATCTCGAGGTGTTTTACACACCACTTCGTGAGACGTTTCACTGGCATACTGTCGCGCTTTCTGCTTTGTTCAATTTGTCGCACGTCACCCTGCATCCATTTGCACTGGTCGAAAGGCGTCCGACTGGTCTTATCCATTTTGTGTGTCTCACAACACGCAATGAGACCCTGTTTTTAGGGGATTACTTCAAAATCTAATTATTTTCCTGTGCCCTTATACCCATATACCCATATGCCACGTATGGTCAATAAACAGCAGTTGGAAGAGGAGATCATGATGTGAGTGGTAACGGAGGATCACCCGTTAAGGATTCGCCTCCCGTGGGATGTGAGACTGTTGTGGAGGAGTTTGCCCTGGTGGACGATGAGGGGCATGTGGAAGAGGGGAGAGAGTTGGGAGAGGGAGATGACCCCGTTAATGATGGTCAAGAGGAGGGGGATGGTGCTGGAAGGGCATCCGTGCCCGATCGCCCGAGCGATGGGGCAAATACATCTACTCCTGCAATCTGGCCCCAACTTGATGGGTAAGTGCGCCTATGTAGAGTCGTTGGGTGTGTGGCCTCGTTCAAAAGCTTCCCTAGCTTGTTTTGGTATAATGCTAGCAACGTCATCCATTCAATAAACACTCACCAAATCTACACATCATCTGTTCAAAAACTTCTCTCGCCTGCTGAGTTTGTGGCCTCTACCCTAAACTTTCCAAAATTGTGATTGCATTTCCAATTCGACACCACCACAGCTTTACATCGGGTCGTGCAGAAGCACCCCTCCGAAGGGCTCTCGCTCGATCCTGGCCTCTATCGGCCAACGCTGCTGCAATTAGCCTCAAAGGGGCGGTATAGCTGTTAGACCCCATTGTATTGCTACAATTCTTCATGAGTCTGGGAGTGGTCTGCTGTCAGATGACCACGTATAAGGGTTCGTTGGTCGTGCGATCGTGTAAGATGGCGTGGGCGATGTTGGGGATCTTGTGGGTCTGTGATACGTGTGGAAAGGCTATACAGTTTTGGTCTACTGAAAGGGGCAAAGTCACCAGGGGTTTAGGCAAACAGGGCCCAAAGACCTCCGTGCTATTTCCCGGTGGTTGGGGGCATTTGTTATGGCGGGAATAGGCTTCCAGCAGCTGTCGAAGGTTAGTCGGACTCTTGGGTTTAAGTCTATTGGGAAAGAGACCTTCTATCGTTACATGCGACAGCCGTACAGTTTGTGGGGGGCTATCATCGTCCACGGGGAAGAGAGCATGGCTAGAGCCCGTGCAGACATGCAGCTGCGCAAAGAGGGAGATGGGTACATTTGCGTGGATGGGCGTTGGTCACAGGCAAGGGAGGCGCAGTGGTGCACTGTCACTTTCATGGATCCACGGTCACGGAAGATGCTGTTGACTGTCACCGTATGCAAAAAAGAAGAGGGAAAGTCATCGGCTGAGTTAGAAAAGGTTGCATTCCAGCTTGGTTTGGCGAGATTGAAAGAGTGGGATCATGAGTGACGATGGAGGTTCATTCAAGAAGGCGTTAGTTGGTACGGGTATCAACCATCAAACGACTGTTTGTGAAGGCCTTTGTGGAGGCACAAGTGGGTACTATGACAGTGGACAAGGCCAAGTCATGTTCGGAGTTGTGGTCGGTCACACAGAAAGAGTTGTGGGAGTGGTTGACGCTAAAGGGAGGTGCGGGGAAAGGTGTGAGTTCGCGGTCCGCTAAATATACACTGATCAGCCATGTGTGTGCAAAACTGGGGACGATTTAGTTTGATGCATCGGCAAAGGCTGCTGAGAAATGGGCATTCTTGGAGATGAGGTAAGTGTTTAAGGTCCGAGCGAAGCCGGTTGAACCACCGGCCAAGCGACGAAGGGGCTTGGAGCAAGAGGGGGGGGTGGAAGTGCAGCATGAACATAGAGGAGGGGGAGGAAAGAATGGTGACGTCGGTTCAACACCCCACGATGTTTGGTGCTTTGGGTGGGGAAGAAGATGAGTTCTCTCAAATTCTTGGGATCACGTGGGGCGACGTTGATATACCATTTGATTTTGATCCGCATCCCACGCATGCCGCCCGGGACGACATCACCCACGATTTCATCAGAGAGTCGGCGGAGTCTATGTTCAGCCTAGAGGACATCGAGATGATGACTCCTGGTGAGTTTGCATTCCTACAGTTGCAAATTCCATTTCGCAGATGATGTCAAACTTATATGACATAGTCTGTGTAGGCTGTAGTGGGGTAGTCAATATGGGATACAACACTTTTAGGTTTTCCTACTTGTACTCACCTGCTTGCTAATTCAATCATTCCTCTTTCTATCTTTCACATGGTTTCAGAGCAGGTTCCCTAATGAGAACGTTTTTTTTAAGGGCCCACCACGATTGTTTTTCCTGCCCTACCCGAAGCGCGCTGCCGAGCCTGCCTGCCCTGTCGCGCGCCTCGCGCATGCCTCACCTGCGCCCTTGCGCCTGCCCTGTTGTGCGCCGTCGAGCGCCTGCCCTACCCACGCCATCAACCGCCTGCCCTTGCTGCGGCCGCCGTCGCGCGCCTGCCCTACCCGCCGTCGAGCGCCTGCCCTACCTACCGCCCGTCGCGCGCCTGCCCTGCCGCCGCCCGTCGCGGCCCTGACCTAAGCGCCCGTCGTGCGCCTACCCTGTCGCCGCCCGTCGAAGCGCCGGCCCTACCCGCCCGTCGAGCGCCGGCCCTCCCCGCCCGTCGAGCGCCTGCAGCCGCCCGTCAAGCGCCTGCCCTGCCATCGCCCATCGGGCGCCTGCCCTACCCGCCGCCAGTGACACCTGACCTACCCGCCCCTGGCGAGCACATGCCCTACCCGCGCTACCCGCGCACCTGCCTTACCTGCGCCAGCCGCGCCTGCCTGCCTGCGTAGCCGCGCCGCCCAGCCGAGATGCGCCGCCCAGCCAAGCCGCGCCGCCCAACCGAGCCGCGCCGCCCAGCCGAGCCGCGCCACCCATCCGAGCCGCGCCGCCCAGCCGAGCCGCGCCGCCCTGCCCTACTGAGTCGCGATGCCCTGCCCGCGCTGCTCCTACTGCTACTGCTGCTTCTGCTGCTACTGCTGCTATTGCTACCGCTGCTGCTACTGCCCCCATGGCTAGCCCTACTGTTCTTACCTTCGATGCTGAGGGGCGTGCAGTTGACTTCGACGTTTGGGTAGATGATCTGCATCTCTTTCTTCAGTGTGACTCTAAGGAGGGAGTCTCGTTTTTCGATCACACGTCCGGCGCCTCTGCTGCACCTGCTGCCACTGCTGACAGTACGGTTTGCTCGCAGTGGACCACTCGTGACGCTGTTGCTCGCCTTGCTGTTCGTAGTCACCTGCCGTCTGCTGAGCGAGCGCACTTTGGCCAATACAAGACTGCTAAGTCTTTGTATGACGCTGTCGTAGCGCGCTACTCCTCCCCTGCCACTGCTACCCCCAGCCGCCTCATGCTACCGTACCTGTTCCCTGACCTGGCCTCCTTTGCCACAGTCGCTGACCTCATTACTCACCTCCGCACTAGTGACGCCCGCTACCGCGCTGCGCTCCCCTCTGAGTTTTGCGCCAAGAACCCCCCCCCCCCATGTACATCACCCTCTTCTACCTAGTCACCCGTCTCCCTGACTCCCTCTGCTCAGTCAGAGACCACTTTCTCTCCCTTTGCCCCACCGAGCTCACCGTCAACCTGCTAGAGGAGCGCCTCACTGCAGCTGAGAAGACTATAGTTGCAGTAGGTGCTTCTCGCGGCGACCCTCGCGCCCCCTTCTTTGAGGGGTGTTCCTCCGTTCCCCTTCTGCCCTCTGTTGCTTCTGCTGCTGCTGTCGACCTCGTTGGCACCGAGGAGGTCGGGGCTGCGTCTGCTCCTAGTGGGAGGCACCGCAGCGGCAAGGGCAAGGGGGGCAAGGGTGGTGGAGGGGACGACGGGGGCGGCGATGGAGGCGGTGGAGGAGGCGGAGGGGGTGGCGGTGGAGGTGGGGGTGGTGGCGGGAGTGGGGGCGTCGGTGGCGGCAGTGGAGGTGGTGGAGGCAGCGGCAGCGGCGGTGGAGGCGGCGGCAGCGGCGGTGGAGGTGGTGGCGGCGGTGGTGCTGGTCGAGGTGGA